AAATTAACATGATTGCGCACAGTTTGGATGCATTTTCAGACTCCCTCCTCACACACACACACACACACACACACACACACACACACACACACACACACACACACACACACACACACACACACACACACAGAAAGAGAGAGAGTGAAAGAGAGAGAGAGTGAGCACACGCAGCTTGTGTGTGTCAAGTGTGACCCGCCCTCACAAATCAAATGGCTAAAACGGAAATGACAATTTACATGTCAAAATCAATTGTGTATTTAAGACCCCATTACAAACATTAACCAGATACGAGCGCACCAAATACAATATCCATTACAAGAAAGGAATTACGCATAAAGATCCACGCACACATCTACTCAGTACATTATGCGTGATTCATGCATTACATCTAGGCTCCAAAGCCCTTGAAAAGTTGAAAAATGAAATCCTCTCTGGCTATTAGCAGAAGCAGATAATGAAATAGCGTTCATGTGAGTAAAAGTCTTCCGCGCACTCCAGAATTTCCAGCAGGGGAGCTGAAAACCGCACCATTACAAGACTTTTCTCAGATATAAAAGAATGATATTCTCCCTAACATCTGTACTGAGATTTACACCGTCCCAGATGGCAAACCGCATTTAATGAACAGGCAGGCGGTAATATGAAGTCGCTTTGTACAGCAGTGCTCTCAAGTGTTTTTGATGAGCGAAAGACATCCACGGATCAAAGATCATAAGCCTCTCAATTTCCTTTAACTGTCTTAGCCGTCATTCACATCATCTTTACCCGTTTTGCTTCATTTTTAACATCTAAACTCGCATCTTGACAAATTCAGGCCCTGTCGGGAGTTCACAGGTCATGCGACACATTGTAAACTAGTCTATAATCCCTGTATAGAGGCCAATTAAGCATTAAAGCGGATTCAACAAAAGACACATTGAAATATCAACCATGTTTGCATTTAAGCAGATGGATCAACAGCAGGAATAGCAAATTCCTTAATATTGTTTAATTACGCGCAAGTCTTTACATGCTTTGAATGATAAGGTTAATATTATTAGATAAACAATAGAAAGAGATATAACAAAACGAAAAATCCATAATCTTATTGTTGTTTAGATAGACAGATAGATAGACAGACAGACAGACAGACAGGCATACAGGCAGACAGATAGATAGAAATGATATCTGCAATTTGTGTTGTTTAAATAAATTTAAATAAAACAAATAAAATTTAGTAGTTCAACCCAATTTGTTTGTTCAAATTCAAGCCCAAATTTATTGTTTACAACCAATAAACTTATAGACAGACAGACAGACAGACAGACAGACAGACAGACAGACAGACAGACAGACAGACAGACAGACAGACAGACAGACAGACAGACAGACAGACAGACAGACAGACAGACAGACAGATAGATAGATAGATAGATAGATAGATAGATAGATAGATAGATAGATAGATAGATAGATAGATAGATAGATAGATAGACAGATAGAGTTGATATGGCTTTTTAAAAATGTTCATCACTAATGCTTGAATACAAATCATGGTCAATTGCATCTGGTTCGGTAAATTTGATTGGTTCCAGGAATTAGAACTGCCTTTATCGGGACTTTAAGTAATGAGCACTGTAATGGCGAAACGGACGCAAGCGTCCATAATCAGTAGCTGCAGTGTAATGTTATTATGAGCTTAAATCTGTTCAACTTATTATCCCTGTCAACAAAACTGCTTCAAATCAGAGAAGAGGAAAATACGTTATATATATATATATAAATATAAAAAATGCATGTTAAAATCTTATTTTAAAAATCGATTGTTGTTGCTTCTCGAGTGTTCATTTAGAGATGAAACCCTGGAGTCTACACACTAAAGAAAATCCCTCGCCAGTCAAATTCTCGAGCTGCGTTGAGACAGGGTGACGGGAGAGAAGAGGTTAATCCGTGTTTAATGCAGTGATGGTCCACACTCTGATGGTTATGTTATCTCTGCCCAACATTTGGGTCTCCCACAATTTCAGCCCAGCCAAAATAGCTGCAAGAAAGTGCAGATGGAGTCACTCTCGACGCCTGAGGAGAAAAAATATTAATAGCTAAATAACTTCCCCTTACTTTCACTTAATCTTCCTCTCTCTCTCTCTCACTCTGTGTCCCTGTAACATATTCTATTCCAGATGGATTTGTTTAAAACGTCTCCCTATGCTTCTCTTTCAGTGCGGCTTTAGGCTGGAAAGTATCTGCTTTATTTTTATATAAATGTGAGAAAATATGGCATGCTGGTGCGCGTCTGGAGAGCCAATACTATAAATTATTTCCCTCGTGCTTTTTCTTAGAATAAATATTTCATCAGTGAAAATGTGTTTGTGTTTTCTTCTAAAAATCATTTAGATGGTGTATAAAATTAAAATGAGTCTGCAGCCATCTCGCCTACAGTTTCTTTTATTGCCATTATCCCATAATAACACTCCTAATGCCCTGACTGAAGTCTGTTTGATTAGTCTGAAAACCTCAGGTAATCCACAGATTTGCTGAAGTGTCCAGTGCCACTCTCACAAATGGACGCGTGGTCGTGTTTAACTGATGCTCCTGCAGACAAAAAGAGCACCAGGTGAGCTGTCAGACGCGGGGCTGTAACCTATTAAAGACTAATTATGTTTGGCAGGTTTGCGCTGACTCTGCTGTCGCTCATCATATTTTTTATTTCCGTAACGAGGATGGCAGGTGCACAAGATTATTATTATTGTAATGGCCACGAAACTAAATGTGGAAGTCATTTAAAGCCATTAAGGTTAGACACATAGGGTCTGCTCAGAGTTTAAGCAACGTGTTTGCGTGTGTGTGCGTGAAAAAGGAAAATGTTTATGATGTCTTGCGGATTGCGTATGCCAAATTTAAGAATTAAAAAAAAAAAGAAAATTAACTAGCTATATTAACTTAACGCATCATAAACACATGCCAAATAAATATTTTAATCTATAAAATAAAGTATGAATATAGGCTATTTAGTATGCCACGACATGTGAGGTTAATCTTTTCTGATTAACTAGCTAGTAACTGCGTTAACACCGCGTAAACACATGCAATAAAACGCCTTATGCGCACATGCAAAAATAAATAAATAACACATTTTGCATATTCCAAAAAGTTGACAATAAATAAATAAATAATAAATAAATAACAGATGATATAAAATAAACTGCAAATCTCATGAATTTACGCCCTGGGCGAGTCAGTGTGAGCCGTTTAGAGATGAAAGTGAAAAGAAATAAAGGGGCTCAGTTTAATCAGGGCTTAAAAGCTCTTCTACATTACGTTTGTGCGCGAAACCCCGGCGAGAGAGCGGTTGGGGGATCAGTGTGTTTCTTACCGGTGCCTCCGAGCTATTACACTCCTCAGCAACACAGACGCCCATTCAACAAACTGCAGCTCTAATAAGTCTTAACATTATTAAATGTTATCCGGATGGTAAACTTAAAGAATCCCTTCAAAGAATTTAACAGTGAATTCTGTGTTGTGCCGAAGATGAGACAGTAGAAATGACAGATTTATAGACTCATTAGCCCAGAGATGACGCACTCACAACATTCCCAACAAATTAATAAGCACAACCAGTGGAGAGCAACAGAATGAACATTTTTTTCATGCATGTGTTTAAAAACTAGCATAATTTTTTGTAGCGTGTGTAAATGCATATTTAAATGAGAATGAGGCAACATTAGCGTAACATTTGTAAAACGGTTTAAAACACAAATTAAATTACTTGCATTCCTATTTAACACATTGATTAATTCGTCTTAAAATATCCTTATTTTTAAACCAAAACAACTGTCAGGTATGTGTAAATGTAAACGCTTTACTTTGTCTTAAACCAACTACGCAGTTACGCGCAACTAAACCCGCACAAAAGACGCCGTTTTGCACCATGAAATGTTGAGCTTACAATTGTAAACGCTCCTTCATATTACAAAACTATCTAGCAGCAGGGAGCACTGAATAATTTATCTGCCTTTCTTTTTTTATACTTCCCTTTGTACAAAGTTTTCCCCTCTTTTCTGGGATCTTTGAATAGGGGTCACCGGTCCAGTTGCTCTTTTTGCTGCCCGGCTCCAGAGCCCTTTCTCCTTTGTGTCTCAGTCTAAAGGTTACAAAGGCTTAAATCGAGATTGTTCATAACCAAGTTTAGAAAAACGCAAAAAATATAAAATAAGAAAATGCAGAAATTGTGCGTTTTAAATTATATTACATTCTAATTATATATATATATATATATATATATATATATATATATATATATATATATATATATATATATATATATATATAGTGTATTTAATAAACCATTTTATTTTTCAGACAGCCTGTAATATATTTTCTGTATATTAAATTCAATTAAAAAGATTTTAGACTTAATTTTTTGTTTTATTTTTTGCTTTTAATAATAATAATAATAATAATTATTATTATTATTATTATTATTATTATTATTATTGTTATTATTATTATTTTAAATATATATTTAAAAATATATAAATGCAAAATGTTGGCAAAACAAGTCACCTGTACAGACTCCACATGTCCTGCATAATGTAGTTGCTTAAACTGACATCGATTCTCAAATGGGTCAAACTGTCAGCTGTCGTTTAGGGAGTCGTTAAAACGAGAGGGAAATGGAATGTGTCACACAAATTAATTTACCAGGCTAAATACCTGACGTCAGGACTCACATAAATAATTGAGTAAGTACCGAACAGCTAGCAGCATGAATAATGAGAGCGATTTGTGCCATTTTTCCAAGGGGGCGCACAGATTCCCCCTGGCGAGAATGAAGGACTGCAGCATCTGTCCTTTTCAAATAACAACCTAATGAAATATCAATTGCAACAACAGCAGCAATTATAGCACCAGTCCATCACGATCTGTCGGCGGATCCACACCTTGCAGTTTTAATAAACACCGCATATTTACACATCACGTTCGCTTGCACCCACAAAGACGTAAAGTTAAAGGCCTCTGACCTTTATCCCCGAGAATCCCGTCAATGCTGTGCTTGGTTTTCTTTTCTCCGTCTTCATCTTTTTTATCACACTCGTCATCGTCATCTTTCTTGCCAAAGCGAGCTCTCAAAACCCGACTAATGGAGCTAACTATAAAGAGAGATGAAAAAAACACGTTAAGGCTTAAAACAACAATATACATAAACAATAGAAAAATATTTTATATATTTAGCAATTTATATCAGCCTTATTTGTAACGTAAGAGCACTTTATTCTTCTAGATAGCCTATATTTAAAGGCTGATGAACAGGAAGTCTGTCGCGCACACAGAAAATAGATAAACTACTAATAAAAAATAAGGAGCATACCTACTAAATCATGCTAAATTCTCAAGTGTAAAATTACTCATTTTCTCACAGATTATTAAACGGAATTTTATATTGTTAAGATAATGTGCCTTCAGTCCTCTGTATGCCAATAATAAAGAAATTGTGCTTACCGGAAGAGGCCTCACCTGAAGGAACCGTGCCTCTGTCACACACTCCGTCCTTCAGCAACTTATCCCGGATTTCCCAGCTGAACATCCCTGGATTCTCACGTTTGTATTCCTCAATTCTCTTTTCAACGTCGGGTGTTGCAACTTGCTTTAGTTTGGAACCGCAAATGTTGAGAACAAAGAAAGAAAAACACAGACAAATAAGTGCGCGTTGTTTTTTCGTTTTTAAAAACTCAGTTATATTATTTAAAGCAAGGCATTAATAATTTAATATTATTTTTTTTCTGTGTATAATCCATTATGATTTTTAAACATGTATAAATCGTTCACTCACCCTTGGTTTGCTTCCACCAATAGCACCCGGGCGGATAGACCCGGTCTCCTGGTACCTGCAGAGGATTTTGGACACGCAGCCGTGTGAGACCCGCAGCTGTCTGGAGATCACACAGGGTCGGATACCGTGATGGGCCATTTCCACTATTTTGTGTCGAATATGATTAGGCAGAGGCCTTCCGTTGATGAAAACTCCACCGAGTTGATTGACTCGACCTTGACCCAGAGGTGTTGAGACTGTGCAAAAATATCCAGGCCCGAAAAGTAAGTTAAAATACGTAAACATAGCAGTAAAATAAAACTTGTGACACTTTAAGTGATATGTTTTACCTGTGCAATTTTTATTTTTAAAATACAAACAGCTTGCGCATTTGATGTACGCATGCAGCGTAACATAAAATATACAGTAAAGTGTATATAATTGTGAATCTCCCAGAATTAAAAAATCCCCAGGCTGTCACTAAAACATTTGCATGCTGTCACTTTGATTAATCACATCCTATCATTTAATATCATTTATCAAGTGATCAAGATTTTGAAACTATTCTTGCTGCAGGCTTAATATTGGAAGATGCGAATAATGATTAATCAAAGCCCGCAGAATTAATCCAGCAATCTCACACATTTTCTTTTTTCCTAAAAAGAATCCTTCTTTACTATCAATCTATCCGATGAGGATGTAACACTTGAGGACACTAATTGCCATTCAAGAGGCTCTAAAGATGTGCCACTTTAAACCTCGATTATTCCCAGTCATGCTACACAAATATTAGTGTGATGCGTTGAGCCAGCTCTCAGCTGTGTGTTTTATTTCCTTTCAGTGTTGCGAGATACTTCAGTAAATCCCACAGATTGCAGGAATCGTGGGTTGGAAGGATTTCGTCAAACTGCTCTTAAGCACGAATTCACCCGATCTAGGAAAGAGTTTCCCATTTAATACGCGGCGGAAAATGCAAATACCAAAGTGTAGATTTTACAAAAGGACGCGGCGAGAAATTAAAAGCGGTCCATTATCGAATTAATGATTTAATAAATTCTAGCATTTAATTTAGATCGTTTTTTGTTCTTTTTAAGCCTCCATCTCTTTCGTGTAAAGGTGTTTGACAATACTTCACATTAGCTAACTTAAAAAAAGTAAAAATTTGTCAGTATGTTGTAAAACTACAACTGTAAATATAGCAATAAAATACATTAGAAATAAAGATGAATTTCGTACCTTCTAATGGGAATCCGGTTCGTGGGTAGTTCTGGCCTGGTGCTGGCCGCATCATTCGAGGAACTGTTCCTGGTAAAGTAGCCATTCCAGCTACTCCCACACAATTTAAACTCTTACTTATAATTATGAATCAATCAATCAATCACACAAAAAGCTCCAGTGTTGTTTTTTGCGGCGTGGAAACTGTAACAAGTCCCAAAATTTTCAAAAGAAATCCAAACACGCATACACTGCAGTGCACAATGCCAAAAAGGAAGAAAAAAAGTCAGATTCTTTCAGTGGACACCAAAAAACAAAAGAGCAGAGTAAAGCATGAAATGTGCTCTGAATCAACTGTGAGTAAATATTAGTGAGAGGTTCTGCTAGTTTTGATTACAGCTCCTGTTTGCAGCCTGAGAGGAGTTTAAGTGGCCAACTTTGGCGCACATAGTGGGAGGAGGAAGCGCGCGTTACGATAGGCTCTCCAGCACTCTTTTATTCTCCATGGAGAGAAAGGGTGAAGCCCAGGACCAGGCGTCCAATCCGGAGGAACTTTGCAGAAAACACACACGCACACAAACTACCCTCCCACTCTCTCTTTAAGTCAACACAGGAAATGTTACAAGGAGTTTTCATTCATCTCTCATTTGAACTGAAACGTCAGTTTAATGCTTTGAAATCTTCTGAAATATAGGGAAACATTTACACGACAGTATCTTTAAACACATATTGAAATTACATAGTAACGATACAACAACAATGCATATTATTATTATTATTGTTGTTGTTGTTGTTGTTGTTATTTATTAACCACTAAAAGTTAAAATAAACATCAACGCATTTTGCCTATATATTTCATATAAATAGGAAAATATTGGACCTTCATCTTCATAAATTGTAATCATGAATTTGGCCTATGTGCATAATATTTTTTTTTACAGATGCATTGAATTATTTATTGTAATTATTAAAAAAGAAAAAAGGATACATGAAGGATATCTGTGTATGTGTAGTGTTGTATAAAAAATGTGATTTTATGCTATTTGTTCGTGTGAAGAAAAACAAAAGTATCAAGAATGTATCGGAAATGTCAACACACCTACACGAGATTAAGGTTAAAAGGGCCCTGATGATGCACAAGAACTAATGAAGATGTTTTGGCTAACACACTTCACATGAATCAATATGGATATTAGTCGTAGGCAATATCAAAGGGTTTAATTAAACGGTTTAATCAAAATATTTCATAGAAGCATTAATAGAAAGTATATAATCTATACATTAAATTAAAGGTTTTTGCATGGTTCTTTGCAGCCCATTTAATTCAGATACTAACTTTACCTGACGGTTCTTCAGAATATAAACCTGAAATATTTTTGACAGCAAGAAAAAAATCAATTGTACAATTGACTGAAAGAAAACAAAATCTTCCCTGTAAAACCCCTCTTTATAGTTTGTTTATTTTATTTTAGAATATACTGAAAATATGCAAAAAGTTCATGTTTCAAATGTTCTTCAGATCTGTGTTAGTTATAGCTTACTTTAATACTGCAGATAAGCCGCAAATGTTTTAACACTTAAATATTTTCTATGGTTGTAAAAACGCTTGTTATTCTACTTCAGACTTTATTTTAAGTCTGTAAGTCGCTTCAGCTGTTTTTCCGAGAGTGCTATAACCGCACATATGATAGGAAAAATCCTCCAGATTCTTTAGGTTGAATGGCTGTGCGCGTGTTCAGCTCTGTGGGACCGCCGCGCGCTGAGATTGTGTGGAAATTGCCGTGGCGAACACTCCTGGTGGAAAGCAATTTCACAAATAATTTTTACAACAATTAGGGAGTGTGGCGGGGTGAAATGGCGATTTCACATGCAGATGCGCCGGTAGGAAAGGACCTGGTGCCCGGCAGCGGAGCTCTGACCCTCAGTGTCCGGGTCTGGTGAACTGCGCGCGGCTCTGATAGGTGCAGCATATTGATAACTTTCAGTGACAATAACATGCAGCTAAAGGTTTAGCTGGAGAAAAATGGCATTTTCACACATTGAAAAACTGTACCAAAGCGTTAGAGCATTACTCTCTCCCTACTTAATTTTCTCTCATCACTTGACACTTCAGGATCACTAAGATGACAACATTAAAAGACGTTTTTTTCCGGCAGCGATGGCATGAAATAAACTTTTTTTGGCTTCCACAAAGGACATTTTAATGAAAAGTTCATTACAGAACCTTGCTTTTATTGTGAAGAACGCTTTTTTAAAGAAGTCCTGCACTAGACTCTAAAAATTATGGGCTGCTGTATTGAGTCACATATAGAGAAATAAATCTGTGGGAAAATTGTTGCAATTAAATTGAAATGACAATTTTTTAATTTAACTTATGATTGTTACGACAACACATCATTTTCAAAGTGTATAGTTTTCTTTTGGTGCAACGGAAATGTTCAATAAATGTTGCATTTATAAAACCATCAATGCCAATAAATAATATTTATTTTTTAAGGTTCTGCATTAATAACGAAAGATCAAAACATTTTGATTAAGTTTGCGTGTATGTGCACTCAAATTTATTAGAAAGCATATATGTTTTGAATTCTGTGGTAGCTGTTCAACTTATCTATTTATTGTGCCATTATCTATGCAGATCTTGTGTTAGTTCGTTTTAGAAAAGTAAAAGCAATGATATGGCGGTAATATGCTCAGATTTCTTTCCACAGACACTCAAAAGTGATGTCATGGATAATGTTATGAAAACATGAAACTTTAAAGTTAATATCCGGTTGACTTGAGCGTGGATAATTTATAGGTAACCATTTGAGTCGATTATTTAGGGAACATATTTCAGCTTACATGTCATATTTCAGCTAACAGAGCCTTAATAATATTTAAAAGGGAAACACGATCAAAAAAAGACAAAGAATATAAAAAAATGATAGTAAAACAAAAAACAATGCTTGAAACAGGGACATTTTATTATACAACAAAAGACAATAATAGCCAAAACTAACAGTGAATTATTGTGAATTCATTATTTAAACTTTCAAATGCTGAATTAAAGCAATACAGACGCACGATATTTACATACTTGCTTTGACTGCTCACGAGAAAAAAGCGCACGTGATGTGCAAGTAAATGTGTGTCCACTAGCAGGCGTTGTAAGCCAACTATGCCACAAAATATGTTGCAAACATGCTCTAAAAACAGCTCAAAGCGGCCTAGACACTTTTAACAGGCATCTATTTGTTCACCTTGTTGCATTAGAGCGCTATTTAAGCAGCTTTTGATCAAGAAAAGTCTTTGACGTTGGCATAATACTTATTCCACATTAATCTTAAGGCTGAAATCAAAGCAGAACATGTTCATTCTCATGAATCTAATTAAAAACATAACGTTCACAGCTATCAGGCCATGATTTCAGAAATTTGGAAAAGTTGTGGTAAGAGTCTGTGAAAATGGTCAACAAACGTGTTTTGTGTATATAGCCTAATGTTTGAAGTCATCCACACAAAGAAAATAGTAATATATATATGCAGTCAAGTCTGTAATTATTGATTCAATTCTCATAAATCCCTGAATAAAACGTTATATATATATATTCATATATATATATATTCATTTTCTTGTCGACTTAGTCCCTTTATTAATCTGGGGTTGCCACAGCGGAATGAACCGCCAACTTATCTAGCAAGTTTTGTTTTTACGCAGCGGATGCCCTTCCCGGACAATTTAGCCTACCCAATTCACCTGTACAGCATGTCTTTGGACTGTGGGGGAAACCGGAGCACCCATAAATATTACCCAATTTGAGTTAAAACAAGCCAGCATTTTTAGTGTGTATGTTCTATTATTTAAATGTAGTCAAATGTACACTGTAAATACACTGTTGCAGCTTAATTCTTTTGTTTAATATATATATATATATATATATATATATATATATATATATATATATATATATAAATTGTAGTTGTGACATGTATTATAAGATTGTACTGTGATGTGGAAATCATTTTATGTGCCTTTCCAGAGACTTTGTGACAAATTAATCGCCAATATTAGTACTTATAAATGGTATGATGTTTCCCTTCTTTCTTACCTTTTTTCTTACCTCAATCTATCATTGACTTATTTACTTATTTTCTTATTTTTAAGAATTACTATAATTTCTATAAACCATTGCATTTTTTTTTTGTAAAACTTGCAAAAATGTTGATAACCTTAAATAGACATTTTTAAAAAAGTAAATAAATAATAATGAAATTGTAGTCATATCAAATTGACTAAAAATTAGGCAGAGCTGATAAAAGATATATCTAATCACGATAAACATATGAATGATATGCTCTTTTTTTAATCTATATTGATCTAAGAGCCAATCACACAGCAGAAATGTGCAACAATGGGAATCTTAAAGTGTGTTGATATTAGAGATGTACCGAATTTTCGGCCACCAAAAGTGTATCAGCCAAAAATGTTAATCCATTTAATGAACCCTCTAATTCTTGTGGCTTCAGTTATTGTCGGTGTACTCTTTTAAATCTGGAAGCATTACCAACTTACATCGAAATATATATTGTTATCATTCAATATGGAAAACAGTTATCGAGACTGCATTTCTACCATGTCACCCAGCCCAACTAAGAATATTAAGTTAAACTTTGTATAACAAAAAATAAGTTGAAACCTGAATAACTTCTTGAACACAAGTTGACATTCATATATGTGGACTAAATATAAATAATAAAAAGGAAATGTTCCCTTAATATTTACATTAAAAACGTTATTTAAAACCTGAACATGCAGAAGTAATATGCTTAATAGAAACATTCACATATTTTCTTCTAAATAATTAACCTCTATTCTGTGGTCATTTTCTCACCCCGGGGATCTCCAAGGTAGCCTGTGCTAAATGTGTCATGCGTGTACGTGTAGACACTGAATGAGCTCCAGACTTTGCTGGCAGGTTTGAGAAGTGCTGGGGAAGCCGGTACAAAACCGCAGCCTGTTAGGCCTCTTCCTCTCTCCTTCACGCTGTCCACACTCCCCACGGACTCTTGTTAACTTGCTAAGGCATGCTCACATCTGCTGAGAATTATCACAATGTGTTATTGCTTCCCAAGCTGAATTATTTTATCAGACGGAGAGAGGGAAAGTGTGTTAAGAGTTGTGTGTGTGGACAGGGTCGCCGCTTGTTTAACTTCACAGTTTCTCCCAATAGGAGAGATGAGACACGAGACACACATGCAGATCACACAGATGAGGAAATATTAAAGTCTTACAGAGCCAAGATGGAGATAAGTATATCAAAAAGTAAATCAGGAACGCTAGCCTAAATGTTGATGACCACACAGCTTTAAAGTTTTAAACACAGATAACAACAATGCTTAAAACAATGTTACAGTTAACAGATAATATCAGGGTTGGCCAGAGTTATTTAAGTAAAGCTGA